CCGAATATGAGTATAGAAAAGAGGGCCTAAATCATTTCCAAATGTAAATTGTGTGATCAAAATTTTGCCCCAAAAAGTGGTTGGCTAGTTCTAGTTTTTCACAAAATGATTCGGGTGAATGTCCAAGAATCCTCAAAATTACTCAAGCTATAAACTCATGTGCATAGGTCTTATCCGACGTGATTATGCAGGAAAATAGAACTAATAAACAAGTAAAAACTATTCCCAACTCAAATAAGCAAAATATGGAGACTGAAGTATGTGATAGAACCTGTCCTACTCCGACGGAGTAGGCTGTGTGCGCCGAACAGTCGCATCTAGTTCTGCCTTTAGCCGTGCATTTTCCTTCTTGTAACGTGCCAACTTTTTCTGCAGCTTTGCGATGGTATTTCCAACCCGCTTCTCCAGCTCTTCAATCGTACCACTGTTCCTCATTTCCAACTCCTTGCTGAGTATCTTAAACCTCTTCTTTGCCTGTTTTTCATGACTCTTTATCTTGGCCGCAAACTCAGCCTGCACCGCATCTATCTTCTCGACCATCTCAGACCGATGGTCCATCAAACTGTCCATCACACTGCTGCCATGTGCAAACAGATCCTCCAGAACCCGTGCAATTCCCGTGTTTTCCCTGCCTCGGTCACCTCTTTCTCGGAGCCGTGAGACTGCCTTCATATCGATCGTCCATTTGTCCTCGCTTTCCTTGATTTCCAGATCGTCTGTATACTGAGGTACTCCCTTTTTCAACAACATTTTACTTAATAGGCCCGGGAAAAACAACTTCCCTTGATTCCGTCTTGCACAATAGAGAATTGCTTTTTCGATGACTTCGCCCACATTAATAGACTTCCCCACGATGGCACAATATAGTAGAAGAATTCTCTCCACCGATACAGAACTGTCGTGAGTGGTAGGGTGGAGAGAGTGCCGAACAAAGTTCATCCAAACGTTGGCGTTGGGTGTTAAGTTGGAAGCCCTGAATGATCGCAACATTTAGTTGCTGTGAGAGTCCCATGTGGCTCCGGGCTTGCCCAACTCTCTGCCTATTTCGTCTAATTTAACCTGGGAGGCCGTAAGGGAGAGGGTAGCAAAATCTGTATCTTCCGGGGGTGAGAGGCCCAAAAATCTGTTTATGGCCTTAGCCGAAAAACTAATGTTGACACCCCTTACTTTCAGTTTGGTGGTACTGAAAACACATGCTTCTGCGTAAAATTCCCTTACCAATGTTAAATTGAAGGAATTCTTTACTTCACACAATGTATGCCAACCTTGATTTTCAATAACTTCATGTATAAAACCAAACTCCTGAATGCTTCGGTGATCAAAACCTTTGTCAGGCAACACTTTCTTATTTTTAAATTTGTCAAACATATCCCGTGCCTTATTGGAACTGAACCCATCAAAAGGCATCTGGGGCCTATCAATGGTTGTGGGCTTGGGTGTGGATTTGACCCCAGAGGAGCCTGCTGGGTCGGCTTGTGATGAGGATCCCTTCCGGGGTGATTTGCGTGGTGGTTCCAAAGAGGTAGGGGGCTGGTTGGCCCGTTTTCTTGAGGGTTGTCTTTCCAAAGGTTTGGATTTTTTTGCGAAGACTCTCCCTAGGCCTTTTCTTTTCTTAGTGGGTATAGATGTCCTACCCCTAAGATCAGCTTCTAAATCAACTTCCCCATTTGGGAACTCAGTATTGGCCTCCCCAACCGAATGTGCACCCATATCAAACTCAAAATGGTCTTCAACTGGTTGTGCATAGTGATCAAATCCCACAGATTCTTCCTCAACATTTGGTGGATTAGATTCACACGCAATGTTCTCCTCAACATTGTGAGGAGCAGAGTTGTTGATCACAGTGTGTTTAGGCAAATTGGCGCAAGGCTGATCATACCAAGTCAAAAGATAGACTTTGGTTTCATTCAAATGAGTGGGTGATGGTGACGAAATGGCCATGAAATAATCTTCCTCCATAGAGGAATCAGAGGTTGTAAGGCCATCTAATAAAGAGTTAGGGCTGAAATTTAGGTTTACCTCAGGACCCAATTTAGGGTTTGCACCCGCGGTGAAGGGTGTCGGATTGGTGTCGACGACGGTAGGCGGAGGCGGAGGCGATGAATGGTCGTCGATGGTGGGAGGCGACGAAGATGGCGGCTGTGCTTCATCAACAGTTGGTTGTGGAGAGAGCGAAGCGACGACGACGAGCGATAGAGATGTGGGCGAGGGCTCAATGTCGATAGTCGGGAGTGGAAGGAGCGAAGCGACGATGTCGAGCGAAGGTGGTGGAGGCGAAAGTTCAATGTGGACAGTCGGTTGTGGAGAGGTTGGTGGACTTTCGGTGGTGAGGTCCATCCACTCAGGCTCTGTAGACCGTCGTGAAGCAGCGGTGGTGGCTCGCCGGCGGTTGCTCCTTCGTTCCGGCTGTGGGGGTGGGTCGCGTAAGACAAGCTTCTTCGATCGAGCCATAGGGTGAGGTACACAGAGGGTTTTGGGGGTGATGATGGTGGGAAATGATGAAAGAGTTTGAGAGTGGTTTGGATTGATGGAGCCGGTGGTGATAGGCCGTCGGTGGTGATGATGGTTTTTGAAAAAAAAAAACTGAAAGGTCTCATCCTCATTAAAGCTTTTTGTTGCTTTCTTTTTGTTTTTGTTGAAAATTTGATGGTTGAGTCAAGGACCAATGGATAAAAGGGATGCATGGAGGTTAAGAACTTGCATCATTATGGGGGGAGTGGGTAGTACTTGCATGGGAGAAAACAAAAAGAAAAGGCTGATAAACTGATTTTTCAGACTGCTGCTGATGTCATTGTACTCTTAATGACTTTTTCTATTTTTGTCTTTATCCACTTCTCATGTTTTTCTCCGGAATGCTATAACCATCAGCAAAGCAATCAATTTTTCTCACAACCTTTTCAATATTATCCTGTACATTAACAAACTAATTAAAACATAAGTGCTCTTATAAAATAAAAATAAAAAGGAAATTTATTTACAAACACCTTTGGACTGCGCAGAGTCCAAAGAACACGATCATCTAGTGTGTAACCCACTCCTCAGAGCACAACTCTGGGAGTGATACAGCTTCATGAAATGTCTGGACACGTTGCCCATTCACCTTGAACACAGTGTTGTCCTCCGGATTAATGAGGTCAACTGCTCCATAAGGGTAGACTTTCTGAATGACAAAGGGTCCGGACCACCTAGACTTGAGCTTTCCCGGGAATAGTTTCAACCTAGAGTTAAATAAAAGGACTTTTTGACCTTCTTTCAACTCTCGGTTCTGGATCCTATGATCATGCCATTTTTTTGTCTTTTCTTTGTAAAGCTTGGCATTTTCATAAGATATTTGTCTTTGCTCTTCCATTTCACAAAGTTGAAACTTTCTTTTATTTTCGGCTTCATCCAAAGACATATTGAGCTCTTTGATAGCCCAATAAGCTTTGTGCTCAAGTTCTAGGGGTAAATGACATGCTTTACCATAGACAAGCTTATATGGAGACATACCGATTGGTGTTTTGAAAGCAGTTCGGTACGCCCACAAAGCGTCATCTAATTTAAATGCCCAGTCTTTCCTATTTGGTTTGACCACTTTTTCCAAAATGCTTTTGATTTCCCTGTTAGAAAGCTCTGCCAAACCATTTGTTTGTGGGTGATAAGCCGTGGCAATTCTGTGGTTAACATTGTATTTTTCAAGAACTCCTTTTAATAGATTGTTCACAAAGTGAGTTCCCTCGTCACTAATTAGTGCCCGAGGGGTGCCGAAACGTGTGAAAATCTGTTTTTGGAGAAACTTAACCACAGTTTTTGCGTTATTTGACACACATGCCATGGCCTCCACCCATTTGGAAACGTAGTCAACAGCTACCAAAATAAATTGGCAATTATTTGATGGAGGGAAAGGACCCATGAAGTCTATTCCCCAAACATCAAACAATTCAACTTCGAGTATCCCGTTTAATGGCATTTCATTCCTTTTGAAAATGGAGCCACTTCGTTGACACTCGTTGCACCTTTGTGCAAAGTTGTGGGAATCTTT